GGAGGGAGGGAGGGAGGGATAGGTGGAGGGAGGGAGGGAGGAAGAGAGGGATGGATGGATGGATAGATGGGTGGATGGAGGGAGGGATAGGTGGAGGGATGGAGGGCGGGAGAGAGGGATGGACTGGATAGGTGGAGGAAGAGACGGAGGGAGGGATGGAGGGATAGGTGGAGGGAGGAATGAATGGATAGGTGGAGGAAGGGACGGAGGGAGGGATGGAGGGATAGATGGGTGGATGGAGGGAGGGATAGGTGGAGGGATGGATGGATAGGTGGAGGAAGGGACGGAAGGAGGGAGGGAGTGATAGATGGAGGGATGGATGGGTGGGTGGATGGATGGAGGAAGAGAGGGATAGGTGGAGGGAGGGAGAGATGGATAGGTGGAGGAAGGGATGGAGGGATAGGTGGAGGGATGGAGGGAGGAAGAGAGGGATGGATGGATGGATAGATGGGTGGATGGAGGGAGGGATAGGTGGAGGGATGGAGGGCAGGAGAGAGGATGGATGGATAGGTGGAAGAAGGGACGGAGGGAGGGAGGGAGTTATAGGTGGAGGGAGGGATGAATGGATAGTGGAGGAAAGGACGGAGGGAGGGAGGGAGTGATAGGTGGAGGGATGGAGGGAGGGATAGGTGGAGGGATGGAGGGTGAGAGAGAGGGATGGATGGATGGATAGATGGGTGGATGGAGGGAGGGATAGGTGGAGGAATGGATGGGTGGGTGGGTAGGTGGATAGATAGATAGATAGATAGACTTATATATCGCTTCACAAATCTCTCTAAGCGGTTTACAGAGCCAGCCTCTTGCCCCCAACAATCTGGTTCTACCGACCTCGGAAGGATGGGAGGCTGAGTCAACCTTGAGCTGGTCAGGATCGAACTCTTGGCAGTGAGCAGAGTTGCCTGCAATATTGCATTCTTTCTTCAATCTTTCGCCTCTTCCTCCTCCTCCTCCTCCCATTAGATATTGATGAATGCGCCCGGCCCAACATCTGCGGAGACGGCGGTTCCTGCATCAACTTCCCAGGACATTACAAGTGTGACTGCCATCCCGGATATCGGCTGAAGCCCTCCAGGCAGCCGCTGTGTGAGGGTACGGTTTGGGGAGCCGGGTCGGGAATTCTCAAGTCTGTGGGGGTCTTTAAGGTTTTCTTTCAGACATTTCACTACCAAACTAGGTAACATCATCAGTGTTGCTGCACTGAGGCACTGATCAGCGTCAATGCACTGATGCTGCTACATAGTTTGGTAATGAAATGTCTGCAAGGAAATAATTAAGCTCAGAGAGACACAAGGACTCCACAGTCTTCTTCCTCCTCCTCCTTTTTCATTTTTTTCAGCGCCGTTGTAACTTCGGTCGCTAAATGAACTGTTGTAAGCCTCGGGGGTCCCCGTATCTTCGAAACCTCTCTGAGATCTCACCCAGGTTCCCTTCCCCTTGGAAAAAAAAGGCCAAAACCAACATAATCTTTTCACCCAACGGAAACAGCAGGAGAAAAACGGCCCAATGACGCAAAAATACGAGTTTTGTTAAGAGTTTCATCGACACCAACATATTTTTCTTTTTCCTAAAAATTGTGTTGTCTCTCAGATATCGATGAATGTCTTGACTCTGGAACTTGCCCTGATGGGAGGTGTGAAAATAAACCTGGCAGTTATAAATGTATCCCCTGCCAGCCAGGCTTCCGGGCCCAAAATGGCATATGTTACGGTAAGACCACGCTGCAACTGCTCTCAGCTTTAGGAAGATTCATGGTGGGGGTGGTTTTTTTAAAAAAGAGTTAAGTGTCTAGTCCTCATGACAAGAAAAAAATACCAGATTTTATGGTTTTTTTTTTTAAAGAGTTAAGTGTCTAGTCTTCATGACAAGAAAAAAATACCAGATTTTATGGTTGTTGTTTTTTTAAGAAAAGAGTTAAGTGCCTAGTCCTCATGACAAGAAAAAAAAATACCAGATTTTATGGTTGTTGTTTTTTTAAGAAAAGAATTAAGTGTCTAGTCTTCATGACAAGAAAAAAATACCAGATTTTATGGGTTTTTTTTTTAAAGTTAAATGTCTAATCTTCATGACAAGAAAAAAATACCAGATTTTATGGGTTGTTTTTTTAAAAAAGTTAAATGTCTAGTCCTCATGACAAGAAAAAAAAACACCAGATTTTATGGTTGTTGTTTTTTTTAAGAAAAGAGTTAAGTGTCTAGTCCTCATGACAAGAAAAAAATACCAGATTTTGTGGGGGGTTTTTAAAAAGAGTTACGGTATGTGTCTAGTAGTCCTCATGGCAAGAAATAAACACCAGATTTTATGGTTGTTGTTTTTTTAAAAAAAGAGTTAAGTGTCTGGTCCTCAGGACAAGAACAAGTATCAGATTTATGGTTGTTTTTGAAAAGAGTTAATCATCTAGTCCCCATGATTAAAAATGCCAAACACTGGTTGTTTTTAAAAAGACTCTAGTCCTCATGACTAAAGAATATTGTCAGACTTTCTGGTTGTTGTTTTAAAGAGTCTAGTCCTCATGATTAAAGAAAAAAAGACTTTATTGGTTGTTTTAAAAAGAGTCTAATCGTCATGGCTGAAATATATTGTAAAACTTTATTGTCCTTGTTTTTTTAAAAAAAGAGTTAAGTGTCAGGGTTCTGACCGATGCCCTAATTAAATCTAGTGACAGGTCTCCAACCTTGGCCACTTTAAGACTTGTGGACTTCAACTCCCAGAATTCTGGGAGTTGAATCCACAAGTCTTAAAGTGGCCAAGGTTGGAGACTCCTAAGTGTCTAGTCCTCATGGTGGAAAAAAATAATTGGATTCTATGGTTGTTGTGGGAGGCCTCCGACGTCCCTTCCAACCCTACGATTCTATAGGGTCCAAGCATCAAAAGAGCTCATTCTCCTGTTCTTCTTCCCCCTCCACCCTCCCCCAGACGTGGACGAGTGCGCCGAGGACACGGCCTGCAAACACGGCTGGTGTGAGAACCTGGCCGGCTCCTTCCGCTGTTCCTGCGGGGAAGGCTTCGTGCCGGCCGCTGATTTCCGCAGCTGTGTCGGTAAATCCCTTTCCATGCCCCATGCAGAAAAACTCCGCTCGGTCTATGGGGGGAAAGTAAAATTCCAAAAGGGCTGCTTTTCCAACGACGGAAGCCTCGTGGCTAAACCGGCAGCTTCGAAGCACAGGAGACCTCGCTGGACCCTTAACCAAGGGGAATCCGTAAACCAGAATTCCCCAATGTTTTCGGCTTGTTGGACTGGCTTAGGGCTTGGGGGGTGGTTGTGTGCAAGTGGCTGCAGGCATGCAGCTCCCATTTGCACAAGCAGCGGGCATGTATACCTGGCACTGACTTAAATGGAGTGCGTCCGCTGCTTGCACAGGGGAGGGCGTATGTTCTGACCCAGGCTTCCCAAAATCACGAAGCAGACCCCTCGTCCCGACAAAAAAACCTTTTATTTAGGCTAATGTGAATTCCTCTCATTCACATCCAGCAAAGTCCTGGCAAAACAATCTTTCAAAGGTGATTTACAATCACAGACCTTTATCAGGCTTGGAGAGTTGCCAGGCTGATAGCTTCCAAACGCCAGGCTGTAGCAGACAATACTTGGCAAGGAGTCAGGAACAAATCTTCACCTTCATTAAAGGAATTAATTGTCTCCTGCAAACCCCACTCCCCTTTCGCTCCTCTTTATGGGAGAGGCCATTCACTGCCCACCCGCGTCCTTACTCCCAAGTCGACCCTTGTTCCTTAACTGTTCCCTTCTCCTGGCAGCTCTGTGCATGCGCACATTGGGAAACAGGCTCCAGCTGTTCTTCTGCCTTACTGATGTCCAACTCCGAAGGCAGCTGATAACTGTCGGACGGCCCTGGCCCCATCTCTGCCTCTGACGCAGAGCCCTCGTCCGAGCCTTCCTCAGCCTCCAGAACTGGCCCACGTTCCTCCCCAACCCAACCTCCTCACTGTCTTGAGTCTGCCGCCAGTGTGTGTGCTTGTCGCTGGGCATTTCGGCAGCCTGGTTGCAAACCCCACACGGCCCACTTGTGGGCTGCGGCCCAAAGTTTGGGGACCCCTGATATAATCTAAAAAAATGTCCGATCCTTCTGTTACTAAATTAAAAAAGGGGAAGTCCTGAGTAAGCCCCTTCAAGGGGACCCTGCCTGAGTTACTCATCAGTTGGCCATCTTCAATCCACGCTCTTAGAGTTTGGGGTTTATTATGCTTATTTTATTTATGCATATGCACCAAGACAAATTCCTTGTGTGTCCAATCAAACTTGGCCATTCTAGGAATTCTATTCTATTCTATTACTAAACTGGCAGCCTCAGCATCCTGGCCTCCCTCGCAGGGCTGTTGGGAGGACATGGCCCCCGATTCACACAGTCAAACCCCCAAATTCTCTCCTGTGTCTTTAAGACTTCCTTGGTTGGCTCCAATTCCCACTCCTCCCCAGCCACGATGGGCAAAGGATTATGGGAGCAGTAGTCCCCCCTTCCCCGCTTCTGGAAGGCCACGAAGCAGAATGGGATTCATTCTTCTTTTCTTCCCGCAGATGTCAACGAGTGCCAGAACGGTTCGCTGTGCGCCCACGGAGTTTGTGTGAACACGCTGGGGTCCTTTAAGTGCCAGTGCCCGGTGGGCTTCCAGGCAGTGAAGGACGGGCCACGTTGCAAAGGTGAGAGAGGGAAAGCAAGGGTCTTGCAACGAACTCCTGGGAAGCGTTCTTTGTGGCGGGGGAAAGAGAACTTTTGAGCATGTGCAGAAGGCTTGTCTGTCTGCGTTTTCCGAGCCTCTGAAGCCATCGGTTGTGTGAATAAAATTTGGGCCAGCGTTTCGATTGAAAAAGATAAATAGAATGCAAGATTCTGTTCAGTGTTTCTCCAGTGTATAGCGACATTAAGATGTGTGGACTTCAACTCCCAGAATTCCCCGCCCAGCGTGCATGATCGGCTGGGGGATACTGGGACTTGAAGTCCACACGACTTAGTGCTGCTAAACCTGGGAAACACTGATGCAAATTGTCTATTCTCCTGAGATTAGGGAAAAGGGAGGGCTGTGTGAACGGGCACGTGGGCATATCCAGAAGGTTTCAATATAGGCAGGAAGAACCAAAGAAATTCTAATTAAGGCAACGCCAATGAGGAAACGCAAACAAACGCAGACCAATACTGGCAGGTCAAGTCACTGCAATGGGCAGCAAGCCTCACACTCCCTCACACTGATGGCAATAGCTAATCGGGTAATAAAATGTCTGCAAGGAAATCACCCAGCTCAGAGAGCAGCAAGGATTAAAATACTCAATCTCAGCCACATTTCAGCTACCAAATCTATTTAAATATTCTGTTCTGTCCTGTCCTGTCCTGTCCTACTCTATTCTATTCTTTTCATTCCATTCCATTCCATTCCTCTATTCTATTCTATTCTATTCTATTCTATTCTATTCTATTCTATTCTATTCTATTCTTTATTCCTCTGTTCTGTTCTATTCTATTCCATTCCATTCCTTTCTATTCCATTCTATTATTATTCTATTCTATTCTATTATTCTAATCCATTCTATTATTATTCTGTTTTATTATTATTCCATTCTATTCCAATCCATCCCATTGTATTAATTTTATATGCTCCAATGACTGGACAGCATATAAATTTATTATGATAGATAGATAGATAGATAGATAGATAGATAGATAGATAGATAGATAGATAGAATGAGAGAGTAGAATGAATGAATTAATAAAATGAATGAATGAATGAATGAATGACAGATTGATTGATTTGGGGGCTGAGATGTGGCTATGACTGAGCATTCTTACAAGTAGCATGAGAGATAAGAGTGCCAAGAAGCATGTGCAGAGTTCTCTGCCACTTCCTGAGGGTCAATCCTGACCAGCTTTATAACTGCACCTGTCAATTTGAGATTATTCCCACTAGCCTCTGGGCTAGAAAACACGACTTCAGAGCAACTCGCCATCCCTGCCCTTTTTTGCCGATAAAAACGGGGGCATCGTCTTTATTTTATTTTATTTTATCCGAGCCTTTTCTGCCCTTCCAGACGTGAACGAATGTGACTTCCCCGCCGCCTGCATTGGGGGCGAGTGCGTGAACACGGTGGGCTCCTACCAGTGTCTTTGCCGGACTGGATACCAGTTGGAGAGGAATCGAAAGTGCCAAGGTTTGTGGCTCTGGGTGTGTCCGCGTGAGCGAGCTCGCCTCCCGTCTCCCTCGTCATCAAGTTGGGGGCTCACAAGGGAGCCCCATGTTTTTGTAGAAGGGGCACCTGATCCGTGATTCAAGGTGTGCCCAGATCACCTGTTAGGACCCAGGTGGACAAGACAAGCCCGGCCTTTAGAGCAGGGGTGTCCAACCTTGGCAACTTGAAGACTTGTGGACTTCAACTCCC